GCTGGGGCACTCAAGTTCCTAGAATTTGGACTTGATACTTCATTACTATAAATTGTTCTAGTATATTATTTTAAATTATTTTTAAGTATTTAAAATTACAAAATATAATTTACTATTTATTCTAATATATAGTTATAGCCATTCATTACAAAATTATAGTCGTTAACATACCCGTTAACAACATCTACTAATTAATATTTAACATTACTAATTTAGAGTTAGTCATTAAACATTTAAGGTGCAGCCTGGGCATGATTAAGTGCGCCACAAAAGTAGCCAAGAGTGAGCGTGGCAAAAGAGTAGCCTCGTAAAAGAGGGTGGTGCTGGATTATGCATTTCTTCCTAATCAATTTCCAGGAGACTTTTACGCCTGTGGTCAAGCACACGACTCTTGGTGCTTTGATCCATTTTGCTGCGGCTGGTGACTATGACATCGAGCAGATGGATGTCACTACAGTCACGTTTGGCTTTTAAAGAAGTGAGCGTGGGATTCAAGCGAAGCCAGGCGGATAGCAATCTCTACATGCAGTTCAGACTTCACAATCCTTGGCCTCTACGTTGATGACAATTTGGTTACTCACAACGCTGCCATGTTTGCTCAGGTGAAGAAGATCCTGTCGACTCAGTTCTAGATGAAGGCACTAGGGCCAGTGAGATATTTCTTGGCATGGAGCTCCTCCGTGACCGTGCACAGGGAATTATCTATGTTCATCAGGCCAAGTACATTGCAGACATATACTCTCGCTTTTGCATGGAGAACTCTCATCCACCAATGGAGCCTGGTTGTAAATTGACGAAAGAGATGTCTCCGGCAACGGAAGAAGGGAAAGCTGCTATGGCGAAGATCCCCTATCGCAGTGCCGTTGGCAGCTTGCTATATCCGGCAGGGTGTACGAGACTTGATTTGGCCTTTGCCGTGAGCAGAGTTAGCCAATTTTTGGAGACTGCAGTTAAACGCATCTTCAGGTATCTTCGAGGCACCACTCAGCGTGGCTTGTGTTACCAGGGCGGGGAGCTCAAGCTTCAAGGCTTTTGTGATGCTGGTTGGGCAGCAGATACCGATACTCGCAAGTCCTGATCAGGTTATATTTCAATTTAGGCAGTGCAGCGGTTTCTTGGAGTTCCGAGAAGCACTCGATGGTAGCAACTTCGAGCACAGAGGCTGAGTACTTGGCTGCCTCACACGCAGCTAAAGAACTGGTTTGGCTCAGGGTTCTACTTGCGGAGATTGGTATTTTTCAGCAAGGTCCAATGATGCTGTGGTGTGACAACCAGAGCTGCATCGCCCTGGCTGCTAACCTTTGCTACCATTGCCGCACCAAGCATTTCGATATTCATCATCACTTTGTTCGTGAGAAGACTAAAAAGGAGATTCTTGAGCTAGCATACTGTGCTACATGAGACATGGTGGCTGATATCTTCAAGCCATTGGCTCGTGATCGTTTTCTTCAACACCGAGATAGTCTTGGTCTCTGCTCATTGACCAAGGTCTTGGGCGAGAGTGGAGGCTTTAGTGGGAGTGTTGAGGATGGTAAATCCTCGTCACATTCGCTATGAAGTATGTGGAGCTCTTCTTCGCTCATGAGTCTGATCCAGCAGGACACCTTCGAGACATAGAACTTCCCACATCACAGGTATTTCACTAAAACATATATGAGCTTCAGATTGTAGTAGAGAACCCAGGGCTATGATGATCTTTGCAGACTCTTTGCCCCTTATACTTGATCTGGTCATGAAAGTTGCAATTGCACAGCTCAAAAACAAGGTAGTACACCTCCCCATTTTGATTGGGCTCTAATCTTCTCAAAGTGGACAAGCCCTTGCTCACCCAAACCCCTTCCATATCATCGTTTGACCTCTATCCTTAATAGATTTCTCTATTTCCTTACTAATGTTGGAAGTTTTTCATCCAAGAAAGTATTTTGATCAAAGTATTTAGGTAAAGGTTGATCGAAATATTTTATCCTTTGCCTAAATTTTTTGTTAACAAAATTCTCCAAATCAACTAAGGGTATATTTTATTTTTAAAGGTATCATGTTTAAGTAATAACATTTAGGCGATCAAAGACCCTACACATCCGCTAGAGCAAAGGATTTAGCACAATTTTGAAGAGCACTCTCATGGCCATGTACGCGAAATGTGGCTTCATGGACGAAGCCGCGAGGATTTCCTAGGGGATGGAGCAGCGAGTCGTGGTTTGCTGGACTGCGCTCAGCGAGGGCTACGTTCAGAATGGAGCTCCAGAGATGGCACTGGATTTTTTAAAAAAGAAGTGGCTGCGATCCAAGCGGCCCCACTCTCCTGGCCCTTCTTAAGGCTTGCATGAGAGAACGAGCAGAGATGGAAAATGGGAAGTTCTTCGTGGGGAGGATGAAGTTGCTCGAGAGAACCATGGCGATCCAAGAGCTCGGATAGCATGCTCTCGCGGTACACTCGTTTGGCAACTTGTCTCGTGGATGCCTACGCCAAGTGTTGAAGCATGAGAGACTCTCGCCGATGGGATTGAGAACCACGACGTTGTTTCCTGGACGGTGTTGGTTCTGGGATACGCTCAAAACCGGCAGGAAGATTTGGCTCTGGAGCTCTTCTCGCAGATGGAAGCTACCATTATCAATTCGTGCTCGAGTTTTCTCGTGGCTGCCAGCAAAGCTTGCTCTAGTTTGGCCGTTCACGAGAGTCAAGATGGAGAAGAGCTTTGCTTTGACAAGAATTTAAACCCGATCGTCTAGCTTGTCTAGCCGCTATCAAGGCTTGTAGCGTTCTAGCCGAGAAGAAACAAGGCAAGAGATTTAGACGTAGAATCTCTTGAGAAAGCAATTGGATCTGCCTGGAGAAGGATCCATCGCTTGCTAGCAGTTTGGTTGGTATGTATGCCAAGAGTGGAAGCTTGATCGTGGACGCTCGCCGGGTGTTCGATAAGATCTTAGATCGCAACGTAGTCTCGTGGAACTCTTTCCTGTTTGGATGTGTTTATAACGGCGTGCGTTGGAAAGTTATGCGGTCATGGAAGTTGCTCCAAACTCTCTTGCGTTGTTGCAAGCTTGCGGGAACGTGGGAGATTTGAAGCTTGGGAAGCTCTTCCCCGAACAGATTCTCTGGCAGAGACTAGAAGAGAGTTTTCACGCCTCTGTGGTGATTTTCCTGCTTGACTTCTACTGTAAATGCAAGAGCATCGAGGACGCCGAGCTCCTGTTTGAGAGCTCCAGGTGGAAATGCATCCCCTGCCCCAGATTCCATCGCTTCCCGACACTGTGGCGTGGAATACGCTGATCGCAGGACATGACGCTCGAGGAGACGCCATCCCTGCGTTCCAAGCGTTTCGGAGCATACGAGAGGAAGCTGGACAGCGTAGCCTTTGTGGAGATATTCTCGGCGTGCAGTCACGCAAAGATTCTCGATCGAGGAAGGGAGTTCTTGAATGGAATGTGGTCCAAGTTTGCACATCGAGCACTTACTGCATGAACGACGTTCTTGGCCGTGCAAGTAACGTCCAGGATGCCATTGCTTTAGCGAGGAGAACGCCATTCCAGCCAAATAGCGTGACATGGACAACGATATGGAGGAAAAGATACACTTGAGGAAAAACTTGATGAGTAAAAAACCTTGGTTTTGCGGCTACCAGCGAGTTTACGCAGTGGATTTGCCGAGCCCGAGAGCGATTTCACGCTAGCTCTCGCCAAGCTCTCACTTTGGATGTTTGTTACAAAGTCTTCGAGAAGCCACCACCGATTCCCGCCATTGTTTCACGGGCACCTGTGACTTCAGTAAGCACAAGAGCTTTTGCAACTAAACTGGGAAAAGAAACCATACTGCTGGAAAACCGGCATAGTCTCCAGGCTCGGTAATGTTTGAGGTAACTCCACTTTTCGCTGCGATTCGGACCTGGAGAAAAGAAAGTGCTGAAGAGATTGGCAACATCAGGAAGCAGGACCTTTGAAGCGATTTCTATGTGGTCCGCAACACCTGCTTGGCCACCCAAGACTACATTATCTCCTAGTCTGCAGCAAAGAAAAAAGAGAAAGATCTCAAGAACAACAAGGTTGTTCGTACTTACGTGCAAGATCCGGCAATTCCAACTTGTCCACAAATCATACAGTCGCATCCTATCACAACATTGTGACCAATCTACATGCAAACAAGCCAAGAGTAAGCTCAAGAAAAGAAAACGTTTCTCAAACCTGGACCAAGTTGTCAAGCTTCGTGTTATCCCCGATGACTGTGTCACGCCAGCTGACGATCCATCCAGAGCAAACGAGACTTAAGAAGAACATGTAACATCTTTTGTTACCTCCCACGGTCGATGGACGAATTGGCACCGATTTCCACACTGTTTCCAATCTTTACCCGCAACTCCTAAGAAAAAAAGGACAAAAGGATCATGAGATAAGAGAAGAAAGAACGCATAGAAACTTTCCTGGGGCTTCTTAACAATGCTATTGTTTGAGTCGTAAGTGAATCCAAAACCTTGGAAGAAATCACGAATCACATAAGAAAAAGCTTTCGGAAAAAAACATACCATCTTGTCCCACGCAAACACCGCTATGGAGGGTGCAAAAATCTCCAATCGAACAGTTTTGCAGTACCACGTTATACCTGTGACATCGAAGTTGCCAAACGAGAGAGAGAGAGAGAAAAAAGGAAGAACTCCGATACCTCAATACCACCGAAGAACCAATGCAAACATCCGGTCCAACAATACATCCCGATCCAACGTGAGAAGACTCACCGATCGTGGCACCAGCGTGTACAACTCCACCGATTTCCACCACCACCGATGGATCAACCCGCGCAAGCCTGTGCACATTTCCCCCGCCTCTATCCCATCTCTCAAACTCTGGAGCTTGAGCAAACCACGCACTCTGGATTTTGGGCACTAGAACCAAAGCACCAGTAAGAGGACCTTGTCCGCATTCTTGCGAGGGAATCGCTCGAGACACTACCTGCGTGGCGCCTTGAAATCGCCAGCATTTGGATCGCTAGCCGCGCCATCGAAAATTAGGGTTCTTGGGGTTTATCCTATGTTCTAAATTTTGCCAATGCGGCTGCGATGATGGATCGTGACGGGCGCGGCGACGCGAGATCTGGCTCCGCGGCGATGAATCCTCCATCGCGTTTTCATGAAGGCGCTCAAGAATGCCGCGGCGGCCAGCATCCCCGAGTTTCTTGCTGCTCTCAAGAACTGCCGCGGCTCCAAGGATCTCCATACAGGTATGAAGATACATCGCGACTTGATCCAGTGTGGGAAGGACAGGCACATCTTCGTCGCCAACACTCTCATTGCGATGTATGCTAGATGCGGCAGCCTGGTGGATGCTCGCCGGATCTTCGACACAATGCCGCATCACAGCCTTGTCTCTTGGAGCGTTTTGATCGGGGGCTATTCCCAGAATGGAGAGGGGAGTTTAGCTGTGGAGTTATTCCAGAGGATCCAGGAAGAGGGAAGTTGTCAGCCGGACTCCATGCTCTTCGTTGCTGCTTTGAACGCGTGCTCGAGCTTGGCAGTGAAGGATGACTGCCACGATCGAGAAGACAAATCTACGAGCAATGGGATCTGGCTAGAAAAGGGGAAATCGATTCATGATCAGCTGAGAAAAGATGGTCACGAATCCAACCTCTATGTTGCGAATTCCTTGGTGGATATGTACTCAAAGCTGGGGAGCGTCGAAGATGCGAGAATTGTTTTCGAGGGAATGGTTTGTCGAAATGTGGTGACTTGGGGAGCTTTGATTCTTGGTTATGCGTATAATGGACAGGGAGAGACAGCTCTAGCGATGTTCTCTCGCATGGAGGAGGAAGGTTGTGATCCTGACTCACAGGTTTTCATTGCGACGCTGAAGGCTTGCATTGATATTGGAGAGAAAGAAGTTGGAAAAATGGTGAAGGGAAAGGTGGTAAAAACTGCAAATTTAGAGAAAGGAAGAGTTCTCCACGCCAAGCTTTCTTTGAGAGGATACGAGGCAGAAATTTTTGTAGCGAATACACTGCTGGATATGTATTGCAAGTGTGGGAGCATGGTGGAAGCACGCAGGGTGTTTGAGAGAATGCCAAGCCACAGCCTTGTCTCATGGGACGCTCTCATCAATGGATACTCTCAGAGCGATGAAGGAGAGCTCGCCCTTGAGCTCTTCAAGCGCATGGAAGACGAAGGCTTTGTAGCGGACACTCGGCTTTTCATGGCGGCATTGCGAGCTTGTGGAAGTATTGCTGCATTAGAAGCCGGGAGAAGGATTCATGCACAAGTTTCTGGTAGCTTACTGGAGAAAGATGTGCTCTTGGCGAATTCTCTCGTCACCTTTTATGCAAAATGTGGAAGCATGGACGATGCTAAGCAGGTGTTTGATTCCATTGGGCAGAAGGACATGGTTTCATGGACCGCTTTGATCGCTGGGTATAGCCATCAAGGAGATTCTAAGCAAGTGTTTGAGCTATTCGAGAGAATGCAAAAGGAGCGCGTGCAACCAAACGGAGTCACTTATCTCTCGGTGCTCACGGTCTGCAGCCATGCCGGGCTTGTGGATCTAGGAAAGAGATACTTCGAGGCGATGAACACGGTTCATTCAATCTCTCCTAGCCTTGAGCACTATATCTGCGTGATAGATCTTCTCGGCCGTGGGAATCAGCTGGAACAAGCACTATCAGCACTCCACAGCATGCCTTACAAGCCAACTTTGGTGGCATGGAGGACGGTTCTAAGCGCTGCAAGGAAGTGGAAGAATGTAAGTGTTGGCCGCCTTGCGTTTGAGTCGATACTGAGGCTGGACGATAAAGACGATGCGGCCTATTTGCTCATGGCGAACACGTACGCTGCTGCTGGTTTGTGGGAGGATTTCGCTCGGGTGGAGACAATGAGGAAAGAAGCTCGGTGTTGGAAGAAGCTTGGACAAAGCTGGTGGATTGACAGTGCCGGAAAAGTCCACAGGTTCGTCGTCGGGGACACTACTCACCACCAAAACGAGCAGATCCTTGCAAAGCTCGGAGAACTCCAATCCAGAATCAAGGAAGAAGCGGGCTACACTCCCAACCTCGACTGTGTCCTTCGAGCTCTTCCAGACAACGAGAAGGAGTCGGCACTGTGCGGACACAGCGAGAGACTAGCGATTTGCTGCGCTCTCATCAACACACGAGCGGGGACGGCGATCAGGATCATAAAAAACCTCCGCGTTTGCGAAGACTGCCACCGAGTCACGTCGATCATCTCCAAGCTCGAGCGGCGAGCTATCATCTGCAGAGACGCGGTTCGGTTCCATCTGTTTGAGGATGGATGCTGCTCCTGCCGAGAGTTTTGGTGACAATCAATGGTAACAACAGATTTTCTTAAGTTCTTTTGTTCTTTTTGTGCAGCTTTTTGGAAAGGTAAGTGATAGTTTCAATCCTGCTTGAGTTTTGAGCGGGATCTCCAGTGACCAACAAGCACGTAAACAAGAACAAAGGTGTGATATCTCTTTCTAATATTGATACATGTTTTTTTTCCTTTCCAGGATCCAAGACCACGACGATCCCGGCCCTGCCACGGACGCTAGGTGCCAATCAAACTTTGCCATCCCCAAGGTAAAAAAGAAAAAAAAAAAAGATTTTTCATAGCTTTGAGCATTCACCCCGCCACATGCCCGATTTTGTCCAGGGTACAATTGTCGCTGCCTTCGTCTTTGAGTGCCTCGTGCAGATTCGCATTTGTCAGGAATTATCGATCCTGACACGAACAATCAAACACCCAGAAAACTGCCATGGAAGTTCATCTTCTAGTGACTTGTTTGCTCATCCAAATCTTGAGCTATATAATAAGGCCCCTCACTACTGCACTCCACTCCAGCTTTTGCCTCAAATCACTTTACAACGATGGCAATTTCTATCACTTATAAGCTTGTGTTCTTCATGACCGCGTCTGTATTCTTCTTCTTCACGAGCACCACTGCCGCCGTACTTAATCAAGCCCAATGTGAAGAACAGATAACAGCCAGCTGCACGAAGGATGGCATTCCATCATTGGAAAAGTGCTGTGCAACAATTGCAAGGATCAAGCAGGAGTCCCCTAATTGTTTGTGTGGGTTATTCGTGCAGCCAGGCAGGGATCGCCGCAGCTGCTATATCGGTGGATACTGCCCGCCTGCAAACGATCTCATGACTGGATGCAACATTTCCAATAACGATCTCCAGTGCTGAGTGGAATTACCTTAAATGGTTCTGATGAACATCACAATGTGAAACATTGCATAAATAATATATGTACGGTTAATTGCATTAATTAGTTTTATATGTTTAACGCTAGATATGGTAAACGCTCACTTAAGCCACACTTATCACCGAAAACGCTCTCAAACAGGAGGATGTGAGTCATCACATAAAGTTTTTCCTCAAGTGTCCATGCGTCGAGATCGTGGTCCATGTTGACGGTATTTGGCCACCAAAACCGCTCTCAAACAGGAGGATGTGCTTAATCACATCAACATGTGTATGTTTTCTTCCATGCATCGAGAATTATGGTCCATGTTGCGCTATTTGGCTTCCATTTACAGTGCAGCTGAACCAAACGCCATGACTACGCCCCAGACAAAAAGCCCAGGAAAGAGCAATTGGATGTAGTGCATGCCCGCAGATTTCCAATTTCTTGGTAAACAGGATTCCCCATTGTCAATACCCTGCTGCCAGTTTTTGAAAGCTGGAGATTACGACTGTTCTGGTGCGCAAGTGATGCCAGGTACTTGCTTCTTTTGAATGTTTTTGTGATGGAGGTACTCCTTTCTTTGTTTTGTAGCTAACAAGGCCAAGATACAAGCAAAGAAGGCCTTTGGATCCTGGTCCTTCTATTGTAGTCAATGAAGTGGACATTAGAAGCCAGGTATGTACTGCAAATTTCATGAGCAAGATTAACTAAGTATGATAGTAATATGTAGTTTATTTTGGAAATCCAGTCTTCGAATCCAAAGGAAATCCAAATTCCATTAAAACTGAAGTCAACCCATCTAAATGGAAGGATAGCGTTGCACTAGGATTTATACTTTTTCACCATAATAAAATTAAGATGGAATAATAAATTGCTACATGTTGCATGTAGCAACACTTTGTTTGCTTAATAGTAGTGTTATTCAATGAAATAAAGTTTGTATTATAAGCATGTTTGTAATTTATAAATACAAAATTAGTCTTATTTCATATCAAATATTAGATGATAGAATAAAAAATAATATACTAAGAAGGGTTTAAAAAAGTTTATAAATTATAAACTGTGAGTGCTTGGAATATAGAAAGGGAATACAAAAATGTGCATATCAATTAGCCCAAAAACCATGGATTATATACAGGAGCGAGTGGTCCGAATTGAAACTAATCCGACGGCTACCAAAATCCCACTACGCTGATATTAATATACGGCATCGTAGCTGTACACTTGGCCCTCACATCATCCCCTCCTCTTGGAATAATGGAAGGCTATTAGGGTTCTCTTGTAGATGGGCCGGGATCTGGAGGAACGTCAGGAGGAGGCATCGGCGGATTTAACTGCTCCTGATCCCTTTGTATAAAGTGTTTCAACCGCTGCACATGCACAATCTCCGAAGGATCAGCCTGCTGAACGTCATGCCGAACCTCATAAATTTGCGGTTCAACTTGCCGCAACACCCGATATGGTCCTTTCCACTGTGCAAAGAGCCCCTTAGATAAACCATGTACCGTAAGATGGGGAAAACGGACTAACACCAAATCATCCACTTTGTACTTTGCAGATGGACGATGATGGAAGTTGTAGTGCCGTTGTTGTCCCATTTGTACGCGGCCTAAGTGTTCGGCAGACTCTGCTTGGACAAGTGGAAGAATGTTTGTCAAATATTGATCCCATGACTTAGTATCAGAAGCTCGTGGCAATTGCGAAGGTAAACCTAGCTCCGTTGGTAATATTGGATTATGACCATATAGAAGTTTATATGGTGAAGCACCAACAGAACTTTGCACCCCTGTGACATAGGCATACCGAAGAGATAACCATCCCAATCTAAATACTGAAAGTTCACATACTTTGCAATCCTCCTTTTGAATGTCCGAATGAGCTGTTCCACCAGACCGTCTGATTGTGGATGATAAGCACTCGTAAAAGTGTGGCATATCCCCAACCGAGATGTCAAAACATGAAATACCTCAGCCATAAATGCAGGACCATTATCCGAAAGAATCCGCTCTGGACAAGAATGTTGGAACACCACTCGATTGAAGAGAAAGTATCCAATAGTAGTTGCAGAGGCACTAGCAAGAGCACCAACTTCCACCCAACGAGTCAAGTAGTCAGAAGCAATAATAACATATTCATTGCTAGCAGTCGACCATGGAAAATGTCCCATAAGATCAAACGCCACCAACTCAAACGGACAGGAAACTGCAATTGACTCCAACTATCCTTCCGTAGCACAAGGGGGAGTATTACGAGCTTGGCACCAAATGCAGCTACACACATACCGGATAACATCACGTCGCATCCCTGGCCAATAGAAAGACCTGCGCAGCTTCTCAGTCACACGACGATGTCCCATATGCCCACATAAAATAGGAGAATCATGGTAAGCATGGAGAAACTGCGGAATAAAGACAGAAGGCACCACCAGCCGTAAATGATCATCAGGATCCGTCCCCATAAAATAAAGAAGGCCATCTTCAAGGCGATATTGAGAATGTAAATGCCGGAAAGGCAAGTCATCAGCAAGTGATGCAGGATCCTCAAACATATCTCGAAGCCTTCGAATCCACGGCTCAATCTTTTGAGCCTCGCGAATATCATCCAGAGAAGGTAGAACTTGCTCTGCGTCTTGTGGACACTGAACATCAAGTACAACAACCATCAATGGCACAAAATCCTCGTCTAGAAAATCCACAGATGCTAGAACAACAGGCTCATCAGAAACATGAGAAGAGAGTGGAGAAGGAAGAGGAGTTTGAGAAAGGGCATCAGCATTAGCCATAGAACTCCTTGGGTGATGAACAACATCAAAATCATATATTTGAAGCTTTAAAGCCCACCGAGCAGTACGACCAACCAGGTTCTTTCGCTTCAATAATGAAATAACGGCAGCATGGTCACCTTCAAGTAACGTCCGAAAACCATGTAGATATGCATGAAGTTTCTCAAAACCCTAAACTGCCGCTAAACACTCATTCTCTGTCGTGGAGTAGTTCACCTCTACTGGTTGTAACGTACGGCTTATATATGCAATGGGATGACGTTGACCAGGCACACTTGGGCTCTCTTGCATCAACACACCTCCAAGACCAATATCAGAAGCATCAACGCGCAAAATAAAAGGTCAAGTGTAGTCAGGATATGCCAAAACCGGAGAAGTCGTCAACAGCTCTTTAAGATCCACAAATGCCCACTCACAATCTGAAGACCAGATGAAAGATGATGTTGATGACTTCAGCAACGCTCACAACGGTGCAGTGTGATAAAAAAGATGATCCACAAAATGACCGAGATACTGCACCTTGCCCAGGAAGCGCTGCACATCATTCACACACTTCGGAGTAGGGAACTTTAGAACAGCTACAAGTTTGTCAGGATCAACTTGCAAACCCTCACAAGAAATACGGTACCCAAGATAAATTGTGTCCTTGGACCCAAACACGCACTTCGACCGCTTCAGCTTTAAACCAACATCTCGTAGCCAATCCAACACTTTACACACATCACGAATGTGCTCCGCCCACGTCCCCTCCGAGTGAATCAAGACATCATCAATGAAGTCAGCAGTCACCTCTAGCATATCACAAAGAACCTCGTCCATCATCCGCTGGAAAGTTGCTAGAGCATTGTTCAAACCAAACAGCATCACCAAGAACTCGTACAAACCAAATGGTGTACGAAAAACAGTCTTAGGAATATCTTCGTCGGCCATCGGTACTTGCCAGTACCCAAAAGCAAGATCTAACTTGGTGAACCAACGACTTCGCCCTAAACGATCCAAGAGGTCAGCAGTGTGAGGAAGAAGGTACACATCCGGGATCGTCACTTCATTTAACGGACGATAGTCAATGCAGAAACGAATACTCCCATCAGGCTTTGTCACAAGATGAGGTTCATATGCCCAAGGACTCCACGACTTCTGAATAACACCCTTCTCCAACATCTCTTTGACGTTTGCACGTAAAATCTTGATCTCCTTGGGTGACCGATGACGAACAGGAACCTTGATTGGATGAGCATCCCCGGTTGGAATGGGATGACGTGTGGTAATCTTGGCCCCAGACGATATGTCAAATTCAAAGAGATCAGAATACTCCTTCATGAGCCGGTCAATAGCTGCAACACAAAGATCATTGGAGGGATCGGAAAAGGGAAAAGCAGAACAAGATGAAAACACAAGAGGAAATAGTGGGGGAACAAAAGTAATGGAAGCAGAGGTAGAAGTAGAGGGACGAAGAGGTACGGAAGTGAGAGGAATGAATAAAACATAAGGAAGTATGAGACAAGGGGGAAAAGCCTCAAAGTCACACTTGGCATGATTGCATTGCAACCAATCCATACCAAAAATGAGGTCAAAAGCTTGACTCGGCACCACCCGCAACGACTGCAACTCAAGCTCAAAATTGCCCACACGCACAACTAGGTTCACCTCATCTCGTGCACATGCATGTGTACAGCCGTTGCCATAAAGAATGAAAACTGGATCCGCTGCACGACGTAAGTGTAGACGACAACGTGTGGCAACAGATCAAGCAATAGAAGATAAACTCGAACCTGTATCAACCAACACGGAGAGAAGAATAGGAGACCTCTTGTTATAAAAACGAGCTTGGAAAGTAAACACTGGATGAACTGGTGCCGAGTGAACCCCTTGATGATACTCTCGAAAGAAAGATGGAGGGGTCACTAACTTATTCGCACAAAGTCCCTCCATTACTCGTGTGACTCCTCGTTTCCCGGATGCACCTCGGTGTCCAAACCTTCCACCGCAGCAGCACCAACGGGACGTTGCTGATGCCAAGGTCTCCACCCAGGAAATGGAGGTCACCAATCCGGAAAGCGCCGACAACACCGATAAGTATGACCAACTTCATCACACGCTCAACAACGAACATCACGGCCATGACCATGGCCTTGCCTTTGTCTTTGGACTCGAGTAGCAGCAGCATCAACCTCCATTGGAACAGGACCATCACTCATAGGAAGTGGAGCTGAAGGATGTGGAGTGAGAAGTGGAAGAGGCAATGTCTCATAATGTTGTGCCAAGCAAAGAGCATCGTCAAGGGTGGCAGGAGCAAGTGCATGCACAAGTCCGACAAGATCTTGATGAAGTGCTGGCCACAACATTCCTAGCTTGATCCACTCCGACATATTGGGCTTCGCACGAAGCAAAAGACTTCAGAAACGAACGCCAAATTGCATCACCGACTCAAATGGCCCTTGGCGAAGACGATGCAATTGTTGGAAGGTATCATCACAATCGTCGGCGTGTCCGAAGGTGCGTTTGAAGACATCCGGAAGAACACTCCAATCGCCACGAGTGGCTGCGCTCAATCCATTATACCACTGCAACGCCGTCCCTTGGAGACATGTGGGGAACTCACGCAAACGTCGAGCATCATCCCAAGAATGATATATGGCAATCACCGTGAAGTGATCGAACCAATGGTACATATCATCCCCAGGATTCCCACGAAAGAACTCTGGCCGAACGTAAGGATTGACACCAAGAGTAGGAGGAGTTGGACCACGTGCCATGAATGCCACCATCAATTGAGTTTGGTTGTTCAATTGCAAGTGCATAGCATCAAGCAATTGAACCAACTGCTGCTCTAGAGTCAAAGGAGGAGATTGCTGATCGGCCATGAAGATGAACGAAAAAGAAAGAGCAAAAGAAGAGAAATGACAAAAAGCTGGAAGGAAGTGGTAGATCTAGACAATGCAAAAAGCTATATCTAAACCAAAATCCTGAAAAGAAAGAATAAGAAAAAGGAAATGAAAAAAGCTGGATCTAGACAATGCAAAAGTGAGATCTAAACCGAATGGAAAAAGTTGGATCTAGATGATGCAAAAGCGAAATCTAAACCGAAATCCCAAATCCAAGCACTCCCCAGGGACAATCAAAGGTGCCCCTCATCTCCACCAATGTGAGTGCCTGGAATATGGAAAAAGAATATAGAAATGTGCATATCAATTAGCCCAAAAACCCTAACTTATATATAGGAGCAAATGGTCCAGATTGAAACCAATCCGACGGCTACCAAAATCCCATTATGCTAATATTAGTATACGGCATCGTAGCCGTACACTTAGCCATCACAAAACATGTTTATAAATTATAAATACAAAATTAATCTAAATGAATAACAACCATTAGATGGTAGAATATCCTAGAATATATAAGCATATTTTAGGTATATCCACTACCATCTCAATCCCCTACAGGTTTATTTAAGCAAACCCAAAATGGGAAAAATAATTATAAGAGAAAATAAGGGAAAACTTAGCATTTTTTTGCTAAAAATAATTAAAATATCGACAATAATATATGATTATGACTCAGATCATATTTTTTTTCTTTTGATATTTCTTTCAGTTTGATATGTATGGTACTCTTCGCTGTACAAGATTATAGCTCTTGATAATGTAGAGAAATGTTCCTATGAAAAAGAAATCCTCTTGGCAGTAAAAACACCTTTATATGCTCCCAAGCAAGGAGCTTAATTTGTTTTTATATTACATAATTGTTGATAGAGCATTTTGTTCCCTTTTTTCTTTTTTATTTTTGGTTGCAATGCCTTACTACAACGCAAGATGTTAAATATTTGATCGATAATCATGGCATAATTTAAGTATATTCTACTGGCAAGTAAAATGTTGCAAGAAGGTGCGATTTAATCTCTCTTATGGCACCTGGTAGGTTCTTAGCTTTCAAGTCGAGTATATAGAAGAAGCTGATCGCAGAATGCTTTTGGATGAGATGAGCCGGGAGAATGATAAGCCAAAACGGGCCTGCGAGAAAAACACAATGCAATCATGATCATCTTCAAGAAATGAAGAAGTACTACCGATAGAAAGAGGAACAAAATCCACCAGCAGCTATTTAGGCCGAATCCGAGCTTGTGAAAGAGCTGAAAACCCATGATCCAACCAGTTAGCTCAAGAGAGAGAAACTTCTACTTACCAGCATAAACACGCTTCCACAAGCAAAGCAGCAAGCGGTGCCAAAGCCCAGGTACTTATAGTCTCTTCCAGCCTGAACAACCATCTGAATTAATCTACAAAGCGAGTGCTGTGGAGAAATTTTTATTACATACCAGAAGAGTTCCTTCCACTGCAAGTGTAGATGGAGTCACTAAAATGCTCCAAAAAAATGGCAGCAACAGCGAGTGCATCTGCAAAAAAGTGTTTCACCGTCAAAGAAAACAAGAAGAAACAGTGCGACCTGTTTCACGATTGCCGAATCTTTGGTGAAGAGCTGCGGGGCTAACAACGCAACCGAGCCTCCGGTGATGGCTAACGCGAGTCCAAAAACTGCTCCAGTGACGAGGAGTGATCGAAGCAATGTTTGTGCCTGTGAGAAAGAATGGACAGTTTTGTTTTTGTTCTTCATTTTTCTTTGCAAACCTGTTTTATATCACGGTTTCTTCCAGAGATCAGCTCTGGCATGAAAGATTGTGCTGTTTGACCCAATGGCTCGCCACAAACTGAGAAGAGAATAAATAGTCCAACCATAACCTGGAGAAAATCCATTCCAAATTAAATAAAAAGAAGGAGAGATCCAAAACCTGATGTGCTCCTAGTGTGATTGCTCCCAGAGAAGTGGCAAAGTATGTGATAGCTGTGTAGAAACATACCTGAAACGCGATCAGTTTTAAAGTTTTAGCTCACAAAAAAAAGTTTATACACCTTGGAAAGCATGGTTAGAAGAAGTGGAGCAGTAATCTCGATCATGAGTGCGAGATCTTTCATCCGTGGCACGGCCACTGCCAGGGGATCATAATCCTTTGCTTTCAAGGCCTTGAGCATGAGAAATCCTGCAACATACTGGCGTCCATGAAGCATGAGAAAAGAAAAACTTGGCATAAAACAGACCCACCAGACCTGAGACAGCGAAGTCGCCCATGCAGCACCAGCGATTCCATAACCGAGAAATGTACACAGCAAAACATCCCCAGCGCCATTCACGACGCTTGCAACCAGCAGTGCTTTCAAGGGGCTCCACGAGTCCTGCATACCCAGACTAGGACAGGAAAAAAAAAAAAAAACGAAGATAAAAAACAAAAACCAACGAAAGATTAAAGATCAACCAACCTTGCACTCTGGGCAACCATTCCGAGGAGAACCACGGGCCAGGCCAATGCTCTTATCTAAAGATCGAGAGTTGAACGAAAGAATAAAACAGTCGCGGAAACTTTGAAGTTTTTACGTTAACGTAGCTCGCAGCTGCAGGAACGAGTGCCAAGTTCTTCTCTCCAACAAACACTGCAAATAAACCAAGAGAAGGAAGGAGTGAAAAAAACGTAAAGGCTGATGATCGCAGCAGGGAAAGCAAACCGAAGTTGTACATCGAAGTACAGATGAAGAAGAAAGCTCGGAAATGACGAGCATGCCCACACCACAAGCAAGGGCGACGAACAAAAGCCTCGCCAAGTGGTTTGCAGCAGCATCCCTATCCTGAAAAACAAAAAAAGAGGAAAAAAAAAAAAAGAGAGCCTATCATCAAAAGAACAAACTCTCAACAAGCAAACCTTGTGAGCAAGAGATGTTGCGATCAAGTTGGACGTCGCCACAGACAAGAACATAAACAAGTAGGATAAACCATCGCAAAGAACAGTCCCAGGTCCTATAGAAAAGAGAAAAAGAATCCATGATCAACGTGAAGAAAATGGCTTACCAAGAGCTGCGAGCTCCAAGGAGCTGCTAGTCCCGATAACACTGGTGTCGATGAGGCTCATGATCGGGCCGGACAACCAGATCCCCAGCGCTGGCCCAGCAAACGTGAAAATCTGCCGCATCTGGTCGAGCATGTTGGTGGCGCCGCTCAGGCTTGTTGCTGTGGCAATCTTTGCATTCTCTTCTCCTCTACTCGTGGGAGAAGCAGCGTCAACACCACCATCGTGCGGCGTGATCTTCGTATCCACCTCGTCGATGTGAGACGAGCGGACCTTGTCGGGAGCTTCCGGCCCAAGGCAGCAGCAGCAGCAGCACGCATTTTGCTTTCCTCGCTTGGAAGATCTACGGAGCAAGCGCAAACAAGAGCCCCCGAGATGGCACTGCAAGCTGCGGGGAGTCTTGGCTCGATCCACAAGAGCCACGAAACGAAATGCGAGCGGGCGATCCATAGCGTTTCTCTGCGATTCTTTCAATCTACCTGTGGTGTGTTGCGTGCTTGCTTGCTTGTGCGCCTAGCTGACAACCAAGCATACGACAGGCCGGAAGCTGGACACGTTTCTAGGGCTCTAACGAGCAAAAGCTTTCTTTCAAGCAACCGCTGGATTTCCTTTTCACTCCCACTTTATTTCTGTAACATCTTAACATGAAATATTTCACCCGAAAAGCCACCGCTTCAAGCCGAAAGAAGTTCCAGAACTTGCAAGGTGCGAGATCATCTAATCAAGGAACTGTCATCTGCAGCATTTGCCGCATTGAGGCAAATGGACTTCAGTTATGAAAGCTATCTTTTTAGATCGTTTATTATGTTTGGAGATCTCTCTAGGATGGACATATGATACAAATAAGAAACTCTTTCTTGTGGCTTAGATCTTCGTTTTCTTCCAGCATCAGCCTCTACAACATTTGGGAATGCTTGCAGCTACTCTGGGAAGCTTTTGAATTTACGAAAAAGATTTAAATTCATCCTTATTCATGGTTTATAGGCTCTCAAAACCTGATAGATTCAGTTTAACACGCTAGAGGAATTAACCTGGTGATCAGTGAAGCTGGTGGCAGTGATGGTGATCGGGTTTGAGTCCCTGTTCTCGCATGAGAAGCAAAGCTTCCGCCATCTTGGCTCTCGTGGGCATAGCCTGGGATGATCGGAAACGATGTCGTGCTGCTCCATGGAATCAAACAGGCATACAAATCCACCATCGATGTTTCCTCGTCTCCAGCTTGAAGCCGCAAGTGTCTGACTGAATCGCCATGGCTCGTTCCAAGCTCTTAACCTTCAGAACCAGCGTCACATGTGAATCCTATCGCACAGGATTGATCATAGCAGCTTCCAAAAACAACGTCATGGATCTGGATCTTCATACCCAAGGTGCGCGTAGACGGAGATGATACAGTGGAGGCATCTTGGCAGCAGATCAAGGTGCTCAACTGCACAGATCTAGTCAATCCCAACCAGGTGACCATCCTTAGGAAAGTCTTTTTTTTTTGTAGGATCACCTGACATGGATAAATTGCTATGGCATTGCTTGTCTCTTGAACCCGGAGGGGGATGGTCCAAAGTTGAGTTTAATTCAGCTCAAGTTAATGTTAGTCAATATAGTCAATCATAAGTTTTATAAAGAAATATTAAGTTAAAAAAATATTATTCTTTGGTGAACTTAAAATTTATGAATTTAAGTATTAATGGTTCAGGGAGATTTCTATTTTTTGAATCTTTCTAATGCAATTTATACAATTTCTAGAATTAGAAGTTTGTCTGAACCTATAGAAATTTTTGGGCTTTATTGGCAAATAAAATGCGAATATTGAAGTTCGAATGAACCTAAAATTTCTATTGTACATTTCAACATTTTAACATTTTAACAATTTTGATATAAAGAAATATATAAATAATTCGAAACATTGATTCACTCGTTCATTCTTTAGGGTTTACAGAGATGGGAAGCAAGGAAGACAAAAAATTTGTAAGTAATTCTAGCATACAGAAATGTGAGATTGTCAATTTTGTTTCATTACCACAATTTCTATATTATATGCTTGGTCCTTATTACCCATTTGGGAATGTGGAGACCATTGTCACTATTAATAAAAATACTCTTGTTACTTCCAAAATAACAATCCAGAGCAAAAGAAAAGAAGAAATGGACAGCATATAAGCACTAATAAATCCACTCTATAAACCTTTCAATGACTTTTGTAATCCACTAAAATATTATAAAAAAAAGTAAATTTTTTATATATATCTTATTCCTTTTGATATGTTTTGTCTTTGCAAAGATATATGATATGGACAAATCAAAGAGAAATCTATATATGATTTTGGGATTGAAAGGTAATCTTGCAAAAAGGCATACTCACGTGTCTATGTGTATTTGCCATTATTATATATGGTAGGCCAACTATATAAAATAAGGCTATATATTAATTATATACTAGTTTTTAGCTTCTGAAACCCTATAATTACTTGTCTCTCATAGTAGGTTGAAATTACTGAGACTGACAATTATGATTCAATATATTATCATGTCATAATAAAACATCATTCCCGAGATTGAAATATAGTATATTAATCAGAGAATTCTTATTGCTGGGAAGTTTAATTCTTCTTGTACGTTGCAATGGTTAGGAAGAGTGTAATGGAGGCCTTTCATATGAGTCTCCACCTCTATCTCTAATCTCAACCAATAATCCACCTTCCCCTCTACACAACGATCCTCCTTTTCATTTTGAGGGTTGTTGTGAGGCTTTTCTATTTGCAACCTTGAGTGCAACTGAACAAAAATTCCCTCCTTATGATGTTGTTAAAAGAGTTGGATTGCCTTCAATACTTCAAGAGTGATATCAATATTTTCTTCAAGATCTTACTCCAAATATGGTAGGGGAGCTTAATGTAGATACATATTATCTTCAGTGTCTTATATGCAACTTTTATTTAAACAAGACAGATGGTTGCATGGGTTTGGTAAATTTTATTGAGCATTGTCGCAAATGCCCAAGAGTGGGTTTGGAAGGTGTACACGCGTGGATGTATAAAAAAATCAAGAAAGAATTAGAAACACACAGCTATTATGATTTCATGGTGGAGAACAATATTCCATTGGTGAATACTGCATTAGTAAGTGTTGAATATGGGATATTTAGGCCACCTATTAATGTAATGTGAAAGTTATGCATAGTTTTTTCAAAAGTTTAATTCTTTACAACAATTGTTGTGAGGCTTTTTCTTTTGTAGCCCCAAGTGTGACTGAAAAAGAGATCCCTCTTCTAGATAATATTCTAGATATTGCTACTAAAGATGGATTGTATCATGTGCTTCAAGAGCGATGCTAGATGTTTCTTCAAGATCTTGCTCCAGATATGACTGAAACTTTTGAAAGAATGAACACATATTATCTCTAGTGTCCAATCTACTACTTTTATTTGATAAAACGGAAGGCTGCATAGGTCTAGAAACTTTTCTAGAACACTATCACAACTGCTCAAGAATTGGTGTGGAAGATGTGCATAAATGAATGTATAAGAAAATCAAGAAAGAGTTAAGAACACACAATCATTATCATTTCATAGTGAGGAACAATATTCTGTTAGTAAATCTTATATCCACAAGTGCTAAATATGGTATTTTTAGGCCATCCTACTGAAAATTCTAGCTACTAATAATTCTTACACTATGATAATATCCATCCCCCCCCCCCCCCCCTTGCCTTTTTTTTTATTAACAAAATTGTATTACCTATAGATAATAAACTCATAATACTAGTAATTATGAAATTTGACAGACTAACACTGTAACTCTATCATCTTTAACACTGACACTGTCTCTGTCATTGACACTATCATTGTCACTATCTGCTGCACTAACACTATCACTATCACAATCATTATCACATTGACATGTGACACATCTTTCTCATTGCAAGTGGATGCATTCAATTGTCTTTTAATGTATCATTAATAAATAGATTTTTCATACCACTCCTCAATTTACACATTGCATATGATGTGTCATGCATACCTAGGAAGACTTCTAGAAAACTAAATATATATTATATATAAGTTTTTAAAACATCATAAATTACCTTCTAGAAGCAACTGATAGAGAAGGA